GAAAAATTCACTCCGACCAATACTTTACAATGAACAAGAAGACATGGGTTTAGAATTACAAAGGGCAATTTCAGGACAGATATCAGAACTCTTTACCCAGAAGGTAATTAATGACAGATTGCAGGGAAGCGCGGCTGGGGCCGGAATACTGGACACATTTAAAAAAATGGGTTGGTTGCTAAGATGGAAGACAGTGGTGTGGGTATTCTGGAGGAATGAGATCACATAGGCTGAATGACCTTCTTCATCCAAACTAATCTTGTGATCTTGTGTTTATAATAATACTACTAATAATACTTTCATTTGATATAGCGCCTTATCACATTTTCAAGATGTCTCAAAACGCTTCATAGGGTTCACTGTATAGTGACAGTGTATTTGGTGGCCGAAACGCAGCAACCAATTGCACACAACAACAAAATTACATTAATAGAGCTCCTTTCACGTTGGGAGGACGTCCCAAGGTGCTAGACAGTCAGGGCTCAGGATCCAAGCATGAGAGAAGGGTGGGGTAGGGATGAGGGAAGACAGAGAGGTGGGAGGGCGACCGAAGGCACGATCGAAGAGGAGGGTCTTGAGACTGGCCTTGAAGGAAGCAAGGGAGGAAGCGAGGTGAAGGGACTGGTCAGCAATGGGACAGCAGTGACCCACAAACAGTCATGTTTATGGATGTTTGTTGAGGACAGGATTGAGTTTAACTGTGAAACATGTCATAGCCTGCCAATACTCACTATCAAGGCACGCACATCAATTGTTGGGCTAGGTATTGTAATATGTCTTGTGCCTGTGGAACTGGAGCCATGCAAGAGCCAGCGTTCAGTAGGGAAGGGGTGAGAATATTGCCAGATTACTCTACTGTTCTTGATTACTTTAAGGCCTTATTGGTTAAGATGCACAGTAAAAATAAAATTACTGGAAGTACTGGTGAACATTTACAAAGATTTAAAAAGACTACAGCACAGAAACATGCTACTCGGCCCAACCATTCCGTGCCGGTATTTATTCTTCACACAAGTCTTCACTAATTCCTTACTGCCTCCCTCCCCAAACTTCTATTTCCCTCTCCTTCAAGGGAAGGTTTATGTTCGTCTTGAATGCATCTACAGGATAAATAAATCTATGTCAAAGATCTAAGAAGGAAGTTGTTTACAAATCATTTACGTCACAAATGCAGTGGAATTGTATCTAACCAATTCAAAGCAAAGAACAAACGTGACGAAAAATAATTCTGTACTACCAAATGGATGCAATAGTAAACTGGTCAGTAAAATTTGAGAATCCTGGATGAGTTCCTGCAGAAGATTTTGAATTCAATTGATGCACGATTGTCATCTGTGCCTAGGATAAGGGCTTAATTCACTGAAAAATCTGGATTCTTTACCCTTAGGGTGTTTTGTTAAATTCCTTTTCATTGAAGAGTGTGTAATAGGAGCTTATTTATAGGCAGGTTGTAGAAATTATCAAAATATTGTTCTCATTTATAGGATATCCTGCGTTGTCTAGATATTTATTGTAGCAAATCATGTTTATCACACTTCTATGCATCTCTATAGTTTAAAGAATAATAAATCTGGAATTATAATCTTGTAACAATGTAAAGTGATTCAGGTGATGAGTTATGCCACAAGAGGGAACTAAATGCTTCATAAAGGTCATTTGTACTTGATATTAGGTTGCAGCTTTTAACTTTCCTCATGGTGTTACAATAATTATTTTGAAGAAATACATAGAATATAAAGTTGACATTACTTGCCATTACTTGTTTCCAGTATCAGAAATATACCAGTCTGATTGCAGTGCCAGATTCTATTTAAAGAGGAGTTGAATCATTTTGACACGTTATTTTGCAGTAGGTTACGGTGAAGCTTTGCAAGAATGAAAAAGCCTTCAGCCACTATGCCCCGAGGCTCTGGAACTCCCTTCCTCACTTACTTTACCTCGCTCCCTCTCATCCTATTTTCAGGTCTCGACTGAAGACCTTTCTTTTCGACCGTTGGTCACCTTCCTCACCCTCCCACTGGCTTGGCCCCGGGATCCGTCACTGTGAAGCGCTCTGAGATGCCGTCCGGCGTGGAGGGAGCTATATAAATCCACGTTGTTGTTGTTGGTTATATGCTGCATCATCTAATCCCTCCAAAACCAAAAACAATATTAAATTGGTCATTTTCAATCTACGACGATTTGTGGGACATTGCTGTGCGCAATTGGCTGCCGCGTTCGCCCACAGATATACAGTCACTTCACTTTACAGTGTGTTCTGTGAAGCGCTTTGGGACGTCCTCCCGACGTGAAAAGCGCTATATCAAAATGCAAGGATTATTATCTTTGCATTAAGCACTTATAACAAAATAAGTCTTCCACTTTTATGTGCATGATCATAACAAAAGAAACATCCCCTGGTAACAGGATTGGACATAACCCTTGTGTGTCTTTATTTTTTGTTTTCTGTGTGGGTCCTCCATGTATTTTATAGATTTCTTCCACTTTGCATTTCCTCGGTTTGATATCTTAACGCACACTAATGCTTCCTTTCTGGATTAGACCGCTACACCACTCTGTTTGTTACTCTCATTGTTCCAAAAACAAAAGTAAAAGGTTTTTTTTTTAAAAAAGGATAGAAAGAGAGGACCTAAATAACCAATAACAGCCTACAACGAATAATTCATCCTTCTGCAGAATAATCCATGTGCTTATTTTACAATTCTTTCAGCTTCATTTGACATAATCTAAAATGTTGATTTTGAATTTCCCAAAAGGATCCTGCTTAAATCAGAGTTCCAAGTCACACCGTAGCAGTACAAGTGTGGAAACTGCAGCATATTCTTAAAGGAAGTTATTTCCTAACATGCTTCAGCAAGAGTAAAAAATCTGGCATTGAACCCAGATGTTTCATTACTACGCTGCTGGGGAAAAACTCGATCCCAGTCAGATGATATAATCTCCTTCATAGGATTTCCAGCATAATTCTCCACTCTTTGTTCCAGCTTTCCCTGCATGATCCCAATTTCTGAGAGGTCACTGCCTCAGTTTTGGTCCCCCCCTCTCTGTGCTTTTTTCTTTTCCCAAGAGGTTGCCATATGAAATAACGCTGACTGGTAGCATACTAATCAAACGGTCAGTGTCCATCTCCAGTCTTATTATGTATGCGTGGGCTGCTGATGGATTCTCAAAAAGGCCTCATTGTTATCCGTATATGTTGGATTTGGCAGCAGTGTCCAAATTTGGTTATAAATATGTACTTAACACCTTCAGACATCTGGTTGTAAACTTGAGTTTATTTTAAATGTTGGTAACTTAAGATATATTGCTCCTTCTAGTCCTGTCTAGTTTTTTTTGTAAATGTTGTGGTATTCAAACTGAAGAATATTAAGTCTTGGATTTTTTTGTTATACAGCAGCACTCAATGGTTCCCACTGTTTTACAGGCAGATTTCAGGGTTATACGCTTCAAGTCGCATCACTCTCGTAATATTCTTGAAGGAAAACGCCTGATGCCAATACCTAAATTTTAAACAAATTTCCCAAGCCTCATACATAATGGCCAGTACAACAAAATCTTGCATCTAATACAGTACCTCAATCAAGTTTGTCATCTCCTTGAAATGCTTTCTCTTGGCACTTTTAATGTGAGTCCTTTTGCTTAGGATTAGCTCACAAGACCCCTGCTGATTGTTGCTTTGAGTGGAGCTGCAGCGAGGGATGAATAGGGCTGATCAATTAATTGTTTATGCTGTACTAGCGATAGTAAGAAGTGCACTGATTATGTAGAGGCTCACTGAGTAGTGCTCTTTTTACAGCCACACCCTTTACTTTCTGTAATTCTGTTTAAGTCTCAGCTTCAGTTTCGTGCAAAAGAAAATATTTGCAATACTTTTCAGAGCCCACAGAGAACAAAACCTATAAATTAAGTTAGTAGAGCCACAGAGAAATGACTGACTTCACTCTTGTGCTGCTTTCCAAACAACCACTAACTTGGACTCAGTTCCTTGTGAAGCGCCTGTTTAAAACAGACATCTGTAAAGTGCGATATTATCATTAACACAAATTCACCACTCGAAAGTTGTTGCTGGCAGTTGAGTTGAATGAGTAAATAAGATGTGCTCATCTGCAGTGTACAAGGCTTTATTTACTTGTGGCCAGGATGGTGGGTTCCTGTCACCACTCAGTTTGTAGTTAAAATCAGGCATATGAGTATCCTGTTTCCTGGGAAAAAATAATCCGATCCTAAAACGAGTTAAGAAGAATCAGGTACACGAGTTTCATAAAACATTGTTTTGATCTTAAAAATGTTCTCACTGCTTTCTTATGAATTATGAAATAAATGAATTGCATTTTGTATTACTGAACCACACAGACCAGGAAAATGTCATGTTTATCTGTGCTGGATTATCTAATCTCAATCAGGAGAGAAATTCACAAACTGATTTGATTCTCTGAGGGCTTCAAAGGTCTGATTGCTGAGCCAACCGGGACATTAAAGATCCAGTGGAAAAAAAGGAATGACTGCAGTTTGCGTCACCAGTGTTATTGTATCTAGCAGCTAGAAATTGATGGGATGTTTTTTGGTTGTACCCACATGTTTATCATTTAACTTCAGTGGAGGGTAGCAAATGGAATTAGATTAATATGGGCTGTATGAGATGCAGTTGACTAATAAAACCAGCAATTTGCCCAACTTCATATTCTGAACTTAATAATAAAAAAGAACTCGCTGCCCAAAGTGGTGGTTGAATCAGGTGATATAGATGCATTTAAGAGGAAGCTAGACTTTGATACACGGGAGAGGAAATAGAGAGATAAAGTAGGAAGAAAGGAATGGTTAGAGACTCATGTCAAGTATAAACACTAGTACAGACTGGTTGGGCTGAGTGACTTGTTTCCATGCTGTAGATTCTTTATAGATCATTGTAAATGAACATACATCAGACACATATGATCTGTTGATCCATGGTATTGAGTATTTTAAAATTTGTTCTTTTACTTTTTCTGATTACTTTTCAGTTTCAATTCCAAAGACTATTCCTGCTACTCCAACAACACCTTCCCGACTGACAAAGCGAACAATGCAGACATCACAGAAATCTGCAGATCCAGTGCCATCACAAAAAGGTCGGAAGGCTGTGAAAAGCAAACCTCCTGGACAACCTACTTCACAAAAGAGTACATCATTGCAGATTTCTTCACCTCCTAAGTCCATTTCCACCACTGACACATCCAGATCAGGAAAAAGGGGTGCGAAACCTGGAAGTAAGGTGAGTATCAACATCTGCAGTTGACATGAATTTGTTTTCAGATTTTACATTGTTCTGAATTGAAATTGCCTTAGTATTTTGTGTAAAACTTAGCCAGTAAGTTTGTTTGTAAATCGTAATTTTAAAAAAAATGCTCATAAGAGATGTAGAACACGTGTACTGATGGAATGCAGTCCTCACTTCCTTTCCTCTAAAGGTACCAGTACAATCTTTAACTGCTTCTCTTGTACATTAGTTCAAACCCATAATAATCTCCTCTTGCTTGCAAACATTCAGAATTTATTCCTTGCACTTGCAATTCTTTTTTTCTTTCTCCTGCCAGTGGTGCAAAGAAGTATTTTCGGTCGTTTGTAGATGGGTTTTAAAAGAATTTTAATTGGTTTTGCCCTCTAAATACATTTTTTTGGTTTGCTAACTAAGAATCACTGCAAGTTATGCACAATTTAAGAGATGACTCACTGGTATCTACAAACGACCACTGCATAGGTGGCATTACAATACTGTGTAAAGAATATGTGCCAGATTTTAGTATCTTCCCTGAATCCCTGATGATTGCTCTTCAACTCCAGTTCTAGAAGTTGGTCTTGAAATTCATAACCCAAAATTTCAATGGGACTGAGATGGAAATAACGCCTAGACATTGAAATCCCCGCCACACACGCCCCACCATTAGCGGTCGGGCCTTCAGCAACTCTGCCCCCACCCTCTGGAACTCCATCCCGCAGTCCCTCCGCCTCACCTTCTCCCTTGCCTCCTTCAAGACCCATCTCAAGACGCTCCTCATTGACCATGCCTTCGATCACCCTCCTTCCTCCTCTGCCCTCCACCCTCCCTGATCCCGACCCGAGTCCAGTGGCTTGGGACGTCCTCCTGACGTGAAAGGCACTATACAAATGTAATTTTTTTTGTTTTTTTAGTTTCATAGGAATGGGACTGTAGAAACTAGCTGAAACTTTCTTACCTTTGCAACAGATTTTTCAGGGTGCCTCCAGCAGGGAGTAACTGTTGGGAACATGAACCATTTCCTATTTTCACAACTTGTTCCCAAACAACTCTCTACAGCAGTATCATTTTCATGAATATGTACATGAATTATATTATAATTGAACATTTTTTTCTTAATGCATTATTCCTTGGCCAAGAGAGCATGCAGATGATTCTCTTGCCAGTGGTGGTTGCTGGAGGGTGTGCAAGGGTGAAAAGGATTGATTATTTAGATCAAGATTTACTTTCTTTCAAAGAAAAAAAAACAACTTGCACTCCATATTCTATCATCCTGTGCATTTATTTTGCTGAGCAAATTGTCCACAGATTCCTAATTGCAGTAATCAAAATAGGGCAAATGGTATTTATGAGCCTGCATTTCTTTTATAAATGGCTGGAGATTTTCAATTTTCACAGTATCTTCAAAAAAAAACTGCAAGCTTTATGTTGAGATGTTTAGTCTTACTGAAGTAGCAGGAAAAACACATGAATCACGTCGTCACTACTTTACAAATTTCAATGGCTTATTTTTTTTNGTGTGTGCACTGCAGAGGAAGTCTCGAACAGTGCCTAGTCCACGCCCTCCTTCTCCCACCACAACTACCCCTGAACCCGACGATAGCAACGCCCAGACTCTTCAGGATGCAGCTAGCATTCCCAACACAACCCCATCAGTAATGTCCACAGGTAAAAAAAGAACACTGCACATCCCTGATATGTGAATAAGCAAACACTAAACAAGGAAGATTTCTGTGAATTGACTAATGGAATGTTTCATGGTTGTGGACTGTTCAGTATATATTCTCGTGCTCAACTTTCTCCCTTGAAAAAGTTAAACGGCTTTGGACATTGCTGTCCAAATCTTGCTGTTGTAGTTTGGAGCCAGAGCACATTATGCCAACAAAATGTCAGTACCTATTAAGAGAAAAATAGATGTCTGGTGATTATAAATTGTCCTCAGCAAGTGTATCTTTTTGCCGTTTTTAATTATCAGGAATAGTAATTTTATCCAAGCTCAGTGAATTTAATAAAACTCCAAGGTGCATTCTAAACATGGAAAGGTAACCTGATTTCTCTGCTTAAAGTCTTATAAAACAGCACATTGAATAAATTGCTCAGATTTAAGCTCAAGAAGGAAGGAAGAAATGGATGAAATTTTATTTTCACTTGGATAGATTTACAGTACACTTGTTTTAATTGCCTTGACTTTTGTTTGGTTCTTAATTAAAACAACATATGGGCTAGCTGGGTTTAAGCTTCAAATTACTTCTCCTTCCCCCAATCCCCATACGTTTCACATGTGTTTCAGTTTAATTCAATTGGCAAATTGGGTTATCAGAGCAATGACTGTCTTAATATGAACTAATCATTTTAAAATAATTCAATAGAACTGTTCCTCCAATGTTATTGTTGCCCCAATTGGTGCATTCTTCGTAGGTGGTGTCCTCTAATCTTTCATTTGTTTTTACTGAAAATTACCTTCATGGATGATATAAAAGCTAATTTTGCTTCCTTGCTCTTTGTCTTTTGATAACCTTTAAATTGTATCAAAATGATTGATTTATTTGTGCTTTAGTGATAGTGATGGTGCCTGGTGATTCTGATAAATAAAATGTTCAAATCAAATTTATGAAAGTTGTAGAATAATGCAGCCATGGCATTAATTTACAAGTTACCATAACTGGAACAGTAGAATAACCAGTCCAAGAGATTTAGTCGCAGTATTCTACTTAAAAGTGTACAGCTTAGGGGTCTGTGACTAGTGGCTTAGACACTATCCTTTCACCTCAGTACTGTTGACATATAATGAACCTCAGATGAATGTTTCCTCTTTCTGTGGATCAATCCAGTTCGCCCATAAAATACTCACAGTCAAAACTACAGTATGTACTGTGAAGCATTTTGAGATGTCTTGCCGATGTGATAAGGCACAATATCAAAATGCATGGATTTATTATTGCGATGAAATGATAACCTAGTTTTTCTTGCGTGCAGGCGAAGTGGGTCACTGTTGAGGAATCACTGTTGAGGATTCAGATTTATGCTTAATAATATCTGTTTGTGTGTTTGCAGTTTGTGTGTACGTCAATAAGCATGGAAATTGTGGACCACACTTGAATAAAAAGAAAGTTCAGCAGCTTCCAGATCACTTTGGCCCTGGTCCTGTGCCTGCAGTGCTTCAACATGCAGTGCAAGCCTGTGTGGATTGTGCCTTCCAGACTAAAACCGTCTTCTCTTTTCTGAAATCTGGACATCATGGAGGGGAGATGATAACAGGTAAGTCAAAAACGGCCAAAAGTTGTATATATTTAAGAATATTTGTACAGAATTTACCTGTGTTGCTTATATCTCTTACGATGCAAGAAAACTGCAGTCTCGTTTTTATTTACAATAAGTCAAGTGGGTAACCATCCTCCTCACCTCCCATCAATGTCTCTTCCGGCTATGACCTTCCTGGCCTGTCTCTTAGCCACTACGCCTCTGAAACTCCCTACCTCAGTCCCTCTGCTTATCCCCCTCTTTATTGCTAAATCCCACTTTGACTTAACTCTTCAACTGTGCCTATGGTTACCTCCCCTTCTCCCTTCTGAACATTTCACCCTCCCCCTGTAGGTTGCTTTGAGACACTATCCTGTGTGAAGGGAGCTATATAAAATGTAAAATCGAACCTCAAATATACACTTCAGAATATCAAAGTTTAAAATGAATAGTTTTATAAATGTTCTTTTATAGCTGTAATTCTGCTCCTAGTGGTAGTCTAATCAGCTTGCAAGCTTCCCATTAGACTTCATTTACACCTGGTGCAACTGGTTTACTGACCAACTCATATCATAAACAAGTGTTGTTCAGGTTTGAGTAGTACAGCATTCCTTTCACGCATTGATTGAGTCACAAGTGCACGAATCAAATCTAGGTTTTATGTTTAGATTCGAGTTGTATGGTTCATTGCATTCTAAAGTGTTTTGTTGCTGTCTGAGCTGTTGAGTCCCTAAGAGGCAATTTGTGGAGTCCTGTAGCTCAGTGGTCAGAGCACTCGCTTTGCAAGCGAGAGACCTGAGTTCAATTCCAGACAGGGCGAAACCTTGGGCAAGTTTCCTTACTCCACACAGAGCCTAATAATAATCCCTCCAAAACCAATAATAAATTGGTCATTTTCAATCTACGACTGTTTGTGGGACATTGCTGTGCGCAATTGGCTGCCGCGTTCGCCCACAAATATACAGTCAATTCACTTTACAGTGTGTTCTGTGAAGCGCTTTGGGACGTCCTCCCGACGTGAAAAGCGCTATATCAAATGCAAGGATTACTATTATTAATTCAGAATCTAAGCAAAACTATTTTACGTGTTCTGCCCTAACTAAAAACTTATAACTTTAAACTACTTAGCTTGCTTGAAATCTATTGTTTCTTTGTGTCCCTTCCTCAACTGATTCACTCAGAATAGTAAAGTACTATTTTTAGTCATATTCCTTCCTCCAGGTTAATGGGTTAATTTGTTAAATCTAATTTTAAATCATCTAGTAAATTTAATAAGCTTGTATTGTCAACTGAGCTTAGTTCCAATTCAGAGCCACCATCTTCAGCCACTTCCTAAGGTTGGAGTGATGAAATTTTGCAATTTTAATTACGCAGTTTCCAGTACTGCCATCAAAGCGTTGCACTTAAAAGTGTTGAACAACAGGGGTTTCCTGAGAACTGAAGTTTTTTTTTCCCAACTTCAAATGGCATAAAGTTGAATGCTGCAGTTATAACTTTTCAGTATGTTCTTTTTAAACCTGCAAAAACCACTAAGTAGTTTGAGAGCAAAATATTTAAAGTGAAAGAATAAAGAATAGAAATGCAAGTTAAATTATTGCAAGGTGCTGCATAAATGTAAATCTATTGTATTTAAAGTTCACATTCCATTATTAGCATCTATTAAAAAAAATCATGTTTCCTTCACTTACCATGTTTGTTTTTCTGTTACTTTTCTTTGTAGCCTCATTTGATGGAGAGAAGCACACCGTTAATCTTCCATCTGTAAATAGTGTCTCATTTGTATTGAGATTTCTAGAGAAACTCTGTCACAGTCTGCAATGTGAGAATCTCTTTAGCAGCCAGCCTTTCAGCCCCTATGTAGGAAATGCACACAGCCCAACAGAATTTGAGAGAATTAAATCAGGTAAAGTGTGCTCTATTTACTTTTAAGAACCTTCCAGACTTATTAAGATACCTGAGCAAGCAGGATCTTTTGTTAAATTCTACAGAATGGAAAAATATTTGTTTTCCAGAAGGAAATAGTGGCAGCATCAAAAATGAATTGAAATTGGGATCAAAATAAGTTGTGCATTTTCAAAGAATGAACTGTTTTCTTTGCCAACTAAGATATTTTAAATTGTTTTGGTGCCAGTGCTCAATAGAGGAGTGGGAAGAATTCATTCCCCCAGTAACTAGTCTTCTAATGGGTATTATGATTTTAGCTGGATAAGAAGCAAGAAGCTTGCCCAAGCCAACCTGTGCCTAATATCTTCAGGTTTAGGTAATACAAGGTGTGTCCCTCCATGAAGAAAGAGCATATACTCCATAACACATGATATTTTCCACCCATCTGTACAATTTGAAATATTTTGATTTGGATTCTCTTTAGCACATTGATGGATTTCCGAGTGTATCAGGCATGTGGCTAACCCAGAGCAAGATTATTGTACGTACATCTTGACATTGGAGATAATACATAAAAGGGCAAATAACTTGATGACTTAAATTAGGCACTTGTTATGAGGAAAGGCTATGGAAGCTTGGAATGTTGACCTCTCTGGAGATGAGAAGGCTCAAGGGAAATCTTATTGAAGTATTCAAGATTCAAAATGGACATGCAACTGGAGTCAGCAGTTTTGAGTTGCTCTTAGCTTTCCTAGGGCCCCTGAAGATGAGGCTTATGGCACTTCCTTGCATCTATTCAAGATCCTAAAGGGCAGAGATGTATTGAAGCCTAATAATAAGAATATAGGACAAGAGAACGTGAAATGGAGCTCAGAAAAGGGAAAACGAAACAGACAGTTCAGATTTAATCACTTTACATTTGAATAGACTACTCAGACAGGAAGGTGGGTTCAGCAAAGTGAAGAGGAAATTGGATATTTGTTTGGAAATAAATAAATTGAGTATGAAAGAAAGGATGGCATCAGATTTTTTTTAGTTTGGGGCCCAGATACATGGAACATTAATTATTTTCTGGTCCTGTATATTCCTGTATTCTTCTGGCATGCATAACACCAAATGGGAGAATCTAATAGAGGACAAGGTGGCTGTAATGCAATTGTGTTTAAACACTCTAAACTTTTCTATTAGCCAAAGAAGAAGCAACGGATCCAGCCACATTAAACAGGGGATCAAAACGATTTTCTCAGGACTCTCCACCATACACCGCTCCCCTCTCACCAAAACTTCCAAGAACAGAGCCTCATCCTTTAGAAGGTACTGTACAGCCTGCTAAAGTTGACACACCATTTATGACCCTTTAATCATTGAACATAAGTTGCATAAAGCTTAAATGGAAACTTTAGTGTCATGGTAAGTACAAAAAAAAGTATACTTCTAGATAACAACAACAACAAGATTGCATTTATAGAGCGCCTTTCACGTCGGGAGTCATAATAAGTCATAATTTCCTCTTGTCTCTTTCCTGTCCCCCTCCTTTTCTGCTGAATATAACTGAAGTCTTGATTTCATTCATTTTAGCGAAGCAAATGCAATGGAATGACTTGGCACAAAGGACATTTCTTTCAAAATGTCTGTTCTATTTTACTGATGTAACAATACTAATATGCACTTGCTTGTTTTCCTGAATATTTTGGTGTCTTACACATGTTAAACAGGGACTGGTGGAAGGGTAGGTTTGAAGTCAGTCGAAAACCATTGCAGCACAATTAGCACCAACAAAAGCAACTTGCATTTATATAGTGCCCCTCATGCAGGGAAGTGTACTAGAGCGCTTGACAGTGGCGGAGCACAACTCAGAGCCGGGGAAAGGGAGAGGTGACCATAGGCACAGTCAAGTGATGCACCAGTGATGTACAGTAGCTATTATAAGGGAAAGGCCATATGCCATTCCAAAGTCGTCTTTTTCTCTAAAATGAATGAGTGGAAGACTGCACAGCAACATCTGCAACAGAAAAGAAAATCTAATTATCTAGAATTTATGTGGTGAAATGTTCAATTTCATCCTGTTACAATGTATAAACTGCTTCTATGGTGACTGATGTCAAGATTGCTCATTAATAATTGATGAGCATGTTAAATTTGAGATGATGGGATAGAATATACATGGAAATTATTCTGCTTTGTTGTATTTGATCAGCCCTCAACTTGTATTTGTTCAATTCAATATTTACAGGTCTAGGAGAAAATCTAATTTTCAGGTGGTCTCTGTTTACCATGAATTGAGTCGTGGCTTAACATTCCAATCAAGAATATGAGTGTCCATTACTATAAATATTGGAACCGCATTACACCTAGGTGTTTCTCAAATTGCACATGATTTCTTCGGTTGCATATAATATTGTATGCTTGTGCATAGTAAAAACTGCTCCCCAACCCCACCAAGCCTGTATTGTTCTTTTTTTGGGCAATCTGTTCGCTCGAGTGTGCTGTCCCTGTATACAAAAAAAAGTTAAGTGACATTTCAACCATTTGCATATATGAATTCAAACTCCACATCAGGACTCGAGGTCAGTAATCTAGGCTGACATTCCATTGCTGCAATGTTGACCCTCCAATGTGTCTTTAGGATGAGATGTTAAACTGAGGTTTTGTCTGCCTCTTCTCAGGTGGATGTTCAAGATCCCACATCATTATTTAACAACAACAACAAGATTCCATTTATAGAGCGCCTTTCACGTCAGGAGGACGTCCCAAGGCGCTGTACAGTTGGGTCAGGACCCGAGCAAGGGGGAAATGGTCAGGGTGAGGGGAGGGAAGGGAGGGAGCGAGGAGGGGGAAGAGAGTCGAGAGGGGAGCTGAAGGCTCGGTCAAAGAGAAAGGTCTTGAGACCGGCCTTGAAAGAGGAAAGGGAGGAAGCAAGGCGAAGGCACTGGGGGATAGAGTTCCAGAGCCTCGGGGCTGAGAGGCTGAAGGCCCGGCCATCGATGGTAGGGCGGTTGGGGCGGGGGATGTGGAGCCAGAGGAACGGAGGGTACGGGCAGGTAGGTAGGGGGATAGTAGGTTGGAGAGGTAGGAGGGAGCAAGGCCGTGAATGGCCTTGTAGGTGAGGATGAGGATCTTGAAATCGATCCTCTGGGGATGGGGAGCCAGTGGAGGCGAGCGAGGGTGGGAGTGATGTGGTCCCGAAGCCTGGTGCGGGACAGTACACGAGGTGCAGAATTCTGAATGACCTGCAGCTTGTGGAGGGAGGTGCCGGGAAGGCCGGCGAGGAGAGAGTTCCCATAGTCCAGCCATGATGTGATAAAGGCGTGGACCAGAGTTTCAGCAGCGTAAGGGGTGAGGTAGTGCCGTAGTCTGGCGACATTCCGGAGGTGATGGAAGGCGGTGCCAGTTGTGGCGCGGATATGAGGGAGAAAGAGAAATATTTAAGAGCAGGAAGTTTCTCCTTGTGTCCTGGCTAACAGTCTTCTGGATTAATTCGTCATTCATCTTATTACTTTGTGCAAAATGGCCACTATATTGCCTACAAAGAGAGTACTATTTAAAACATATTCATTCCAGAATGATCAGCGCTAAAGACTGTTCAAAAAGATGAGTAAGAGTCAAACTGGAGAAGCATTGAGATTGGAAGCACCTCTTATATTTTAATCTCCATGCAGTAGAGCACATGATGTCTAGATATACTGGTGAAATAAGGGTGTTGGTGGCATAATAGAACTTCAGTCATTTGAGACAACAGTTTTTGGGCCCATGGGTGTAGAAAATCCCAGTACACATGAAACCATATTCAGTTCATGCATATCTACCCTGTTCTTTTCTCCATCAAGTGTATTTCCCTTTCATATATTTCTGAAGGGAAATGTCCCTTGGTTTCATCACTGAACCATGTGTTTAGATGGAGTCGTTTATTAAAATTGGAGATTACATATTCTTACTGGGATAAGATACTATGACTAGAAGTATAGCAAGCTATAGATGTAACACAGGGTTTCATTTTCAGACACCACGCAGTATTTTTAAAAGCACGTTTGTGCACATCCAGAAGGGGCAAACATCAAGTAGTCCCTTCATCAATGAATCGTACTGTTGAGAGTCGGCCCTAGTTCTTAATCAGGGCTTATGGTTTCAAATTTGCAGTTCAAAAAATTATTCATTAGCCCACAAGATGCATAAGATGTTTTTGCGCAGTGGGAGACATCCATTTATAATGTTGCCAAAATAATCTAGTGCCATTCAATGCAGATTTGAGGCAGCAGGTAAAGTACATGGTTAAGAGTATTGACCAGGAGCTACTCCCCTTGAAATATGCGGGAAATGTCCAGAAAATAAGATGCATTAAAGGTCTATCCTTTTTGGACCGTATGGAAGAGGTAAGCTGAATTGGCTCCAAAGTGACATGCCTGCAAAGGAGGATTGGAGTTGAGTCGACCGGCTAACATGACTTGTTAATGTGATTTGGCAGGGCAGACGAGACTGTAGGAGCAGGAATTCTTCATACTCAGCTCCCAATAACCTTACATAGTAGTAATAATAATAATAATTTGGTCACTCAACCTACAACAATTTGTGGATACTGCTGTGGGTAAATGGCTTCTGTGTTTCGCTCACAAAAAAATATATAGTCAATTCACTTTACAGTATATTCTGTGAAGCCCTTTGAGACATCTCAAAGACGTGATAAGGAGCTATATCAAATGCAAAGTTTATTATTACAAGACAAGGCCCTAATGGGTAGGTTGGTTTCAACTGGACAACCAGCAGGATGTTTGCCTGTGCTTAGCTGATTTAGTTCTAATAGACTCAAAGAAGCCATACATATGTAGAACTCTCAGTGGAGTAGAACCGAGTTATAACATGTTACTTTGGAGTTGATAGCCTGGTTGGCATATGGATCCTGACATTTACATACCCAAAAAAATCTAAGCTGCAGCAGAGGTGCTTAAATATGATCAACCTCTGGGACTTCACTCCAGCCACAAAGTTACGGCATTGGTGACTTGATGACTTGGATGCTGACTATCTTTTTGCTCAGGGGCCTGGCCGACACATGGAAATTTCTACATGCACACACGGTGAATTTCAGAACCGTTGACTGGCAGTCGTGCCGTGTTATAAAGTCTGTTGGGATTTTATTGACCCTAACAGGACTGCACTGTACATTGGGTTGAAGACTCTTAAGCATGTTGATGGTTTTCTAAGTGTGTTAGATACATGACTAACCAAATAAAACATTGTGGAAATTTTTCTTTCATGACCTTTCATTTTGTTTCTTGTTTCTGTTTTCCCCCCCCTTTACAATTTGAAAGAAACTATCTGAAGGAATGCACACAATTCACACAAACAGACTATACTTTTTAAGATCTAGAACTGGCTTTTTCGATTAACATGGGTCTATTTTAGCAGCATGTCTTTAACCAGATCTAACAACACGATCCTTGAACTTAATACTGTACACAATGAGTTTTGCAAACTGCATATTCAGTCTTTATCAGAAGCCTGGAGTATAAGGTTCTGAAGCAGTCTTTAGGCAATTGTACCAAAATGAGTTTAAACAGATAAAATAATTAAATAACATGTAGCTGGAAACTGATCTACAAAAGCAAAATATTCTGAACTAGGAATACTAACTGTTTCAAAATGAATGTGTAAAAGTATTCAACAAGCTTTGAAGATGTATGATATTCAGTTGGAATTTGGATGACAGGTAGAAAAAAATCTTACTGAGTTCAGCAACTCAGGAGTTCTTGCAAACAAAAGTTGGCAGTCACCTGCAGAATGAAGAATTATGCTATCCATAACCTGAAGTCCTTCCTCCATCTTAGGACACCCAAGTCTTGAACATCACTGTTTCCTGAACAGTGCATTATGTCCTGAATCTTTCATCAAAATGCGAGATCTCAAACTACTTTCTACACCAATATAAATATTGTTTTTAAGCCTGACGTGTAAACGCTTCATTAAAAATGAAATGTGCATCTTGAAGGTCAGGGTTCAAGTGTTTGTCATCAGAATCAGGGTTCAGACTCATTAACTCCAGAACAGTTGTTTGATTTTCCTTTGAACTCTGAAATAACCTGCATGAGATGAATTTATGTGACCACCTGGGTTACTCAGGTGTGCAACTCTGTACATTGCATGTTAGAAATTCTTAGTAACATTAATCGATAAGTGAGGAAATATGTTTTAATATGTATTAATTGAGCACTAGTTGTTTTTCAGAATCTGATTGATTCTATTTATTATACCTTCAGCAGAAACATTGCCCGCAGAAGAGAATGTTACACCAAAGGAACACAAATATTCAGAGTCCTTAGATTCTACACTGAATTCTGTTAAACCACCTAGTCCTTCCCAACGGAATTCTAGTGAATATCGTAACTCAGGAAATACTCCATTTAGTTTCAGAAGTTCTGTTCAACCATCGGGCCCTACCTCAAACTCTGCCCCTTCCCTACGAAGGCTGACTTCAAATTCAACAGGAAATAACAGTTATTACGATAACAGAAATCGCATGCAGAGACGAATAGAAGGTAAGTGACTAGATGGTGTAACGTGTCTTAACTACATACCATAAATTACCTTTTGATAGATGGACTCACTTGGTTTCTTCCATAAGGAGCACACATACAAAATTAAGGGGAACTTGGCTGGCAAGGAAGACTTTTTCTGTTTTTTAACTCATCACGATATCAAAGAACCAGGCAGGTCCAGATTCCTCAGATACTGCTTGGAATAGGGAGGAAGGTCTGAAGCCATTTGTAGTCATCAGGCATTGCTGAGAGGGGAAAAGATCAAGCTAATTCACTTGTTTTCCATAAGATCAAAACATCCCCTTTCTGCTTATCAAGTCACTTATACATTTCAGGCAGATGTAGAAAGGGACCGAATATGAGACTAGGGATAGGATCTAGGATGGGCCCTTGTGTGGAGGATTAACCCACCACACTGAATAGTCGTTTCTGAATTGTACATTCTATGAACCTATGAATAAAGTAACAGTGGATCTTGCAAAATGATCCTCAAATTCATGTGCGTCCATTTGATTTGGTGGTAGATAGGCAATGAAACAATATTTGGATTGCCTTTAAACAAGCTTTAGATGGGTCTTTTAAACATGACCACAGAAAACAATGTAAAATTAGAGCTAGATACATACCTAAAAAGGAGCAAACTATTTAGTGAAAGGGAAGGTTAATTGGAATGAAATGATTGCTCTCAAAAGAGCCAGCACAGAGACGAAGCCTTCTTCTGTGCTGCAAATTTCTATGGTTCTAAAAGAGCTGAGGATGGCAACCTTTTGAGGGGCAATAAAAAAGAGTCCAGGACAGATTGGGGTTAGGTTAGATGAATCGTGTGGCGAAAACATCAGCATGTACTTGATTGGTCCAGTGGCCTATTTCTGGGCTGCTGCATTTTATGGTGAAATAATGACTTGAAACCTGAGTATTTTACAGAGTTTGAGTAGAAAATTAAATATTCAAAATACTACAATCTTGATCTCCTTGGTTTTCATACAATATATGGAGAAAAATGTTAGACTAGTTGCTCAAAGGCGAGCCACAGCGTAGAATCTAAATGTAGAATTGTACAAATTTGAATGTTTTGGAAAAACACCAATTGGTTTAAACAAATTGAGGCAAATTCACTCAACTACAAATTATGCATACATTTCTATTTTCTGCAGTTAAAGATACTGGCAAGTGATTAACAACTCCTAATTTTTATTCTGTTCAGTTCAGGCTATCGACAATTTACAGATTAAAAATTGAAACAAAATAAAATGTTGGATCAATGAAATAAATGGCAAGATTCTGACTCGTGTGTTACACTTTCCTGTTGTTAGCTGCAAGTTCTACTACTGGGCCTGATCTTCACTCAGCAGAGAGGGAGTCCTCGAGATCTAATAGCAAGGACCCTTCTACTTGGTCTATTGAAGAGGTCATGAAATTTGTTAGAGAAGCAGATCCCCAGGCTTTGGCACCACATGCAGACCTGTTCAGAAAGCATGTAAGTATTGGAGAATGTTTTGCACATACTGTAACTTGGTATGCTACATGTTTATACAAAGTTTTAGTATTACAAGAAGGATATTTGAGTGAACAGATGTGTTTAACTCGGCAACAAACATTGTGACTTTTCTACCTGGATCTTCCTGTGCTACAGTGGAGGAAATCTAATACCATGTGATTTTTGACATAATCTGGACCAATAGAAAAGTGCAGACAGTCAGAATCCCAGAGACAGACACGCACACACACACACTCACAGATATGCACACACTCGGAGACAGACACATAGCGACACATTCTAAGAGAGAGAGAAAGCGACACACTTACAGACAGAGACACACTCAGAGACACAGAGAGGGACACATTCTTCTGATGAGACATTAAACCAAGTCCTGTAGCTTAGTGGTTAGAGCTCTTACCTCATAAGTGAGATGACCTGGGTTCCATTCCCAGGCAGGGCGAAACCTTGGGCAAGTTTGCTTACTCCACAAACCTCTGGGACACTACTGCGTGTAATTGGCTGCCGTGTTTCGCTCACAAAATATACAGTAAATTCACTTTACAGTATATTCTGTGAAGCCCTTTGAGACATCGCGAAGGCGTGATAAGGCGCTATATGAAATGCAAGGATTATTGTAACCGAGGTCCCACCTGAGTGTCCAGGTAGATGTTAATAATCCGAGGACATTGCTTGAAAAGAGAAGAGAGTTTCTCCCAATGTCTTGACCAACAAATCTCCAGATAAAATTCACTCCATAGCAATTGTGGGACATTGTTTTGTGCAAAATTAGCTACTGTGTCCATCCACAAAATACACAATCACTACACAATCACAATGTATCCTGTGAAGTGCTTTGGGACATTCTCCTGACATGAAAGGTGCTATGCCAATTGCAAGGATTATTATTATCATATACCATGTTCTTTGATCCTGAACATATATTTGTGTTATTTTGCAGGAAATTGACGGAAAAGCTTTACTTTTACTGAGAAGTGACATGATCATGAAATACATGGGGCTGAAGTTGGGTCCAGCTTTGAAGCTTTGTTATCACATTGAAAGACTGAAGCAAGGAAAATACTAACGGAAGATGAGAAGAATTCTTTCATCAGTCTGATGGAAAGTTTGGTTTTGAAAGCAGCTAAATTATTTCACTTGAAGGAGTGGCTGTTTCATGGTTTTAATATGCCTTTACACCAAGTGAGTGTACAGTTTCACCCTACAATGTAGAGTTCGAAATGGGCCGTTATTTCACTTGGTATCAAAGGTGTTTTAAGTAATTTTCAAAGTTGCGTCTACATTTCAAGCTACCAGGGTGCAGCAACGCTAAAAACTCTGCATTTGTGCTTTTTATGCACGATGTACTATATTTGTAATTCTTTTGACGTGATCAAGTCTGCTGTTAGACATGTAGGTTGCACGTCTTTCTGTTGATTTTTCTGATGGTAAAATGGAGTAGCGGAATAGATTCCCAATGCCGACTTCCATTAACACATAACTGCTTTTAGTTTCCTGGTACCAAAATGGCTAAATCCAAAGGATATCTGTATCAGGATTTTATAGTACAAAGATGTTTATGCAAAGCTTCTAGATTACTAGAAGGATTTTTGAGTGAACAGGTATTCTTAACTCAGCAGCAAACCTTGTGACTATTTTCTACCTGGCTCTTCTTATGCTCCAGTGGAGCAAACAATCTTGTACCATATGATTTTTGTCATATGATCAACCAGGCTAATACTGTCCCCCTTAAAAAGTGTCGGGCAGTAGTTTACACTGTTATGCAGTAATTACAAATTAAACCAGCACAATCTTTTGGCAGGTTATTCTGAAAATCTTTATTGTTTGTACATTTATAGTGTTCTTACCCTCAGTTTCATTTTTTTTAATGGGTTGACTTATTATGTGAGGTCAACCAGCCATGTTTTATACACTGTGAGACTTAACATACTGATAGTAAGCTTTTACTATCTGTGCCTGTGAAGAAAGGAAAACTAAATCAGGGACAAGAATGTAATATTTTCTAGCCAGTAACAGTTTGAATGTATTTCATAATGAATATGTTAATGGAAAAAGACTATTTTACGTAAGTATATGGTCTGTGAGAATATAGATTTTTATTTTGTTTCTTGCTACCTTTTTATACAAGGTAAATCCTTTTTAGTAAAATATTTTTTGCATAGGTAATAACTTCTGCTTATGGAGGAAAGGTGCTTTATGCATAATGGTTTTATAACATTTTGTAGTTCTATAAACTTGAGTGTAATTGTAATTTAAATACCATAATCTCACATCAGTGTTTATGAACAGTCCTGTTCTTAGTTTTGACTACACAGTCTCCATTGCAGCTCTGATATTATGAACCATGGTCAAAGCACTGTACATAAAACAGCATTTTAGCAAGAAATAAATTAGTTTGGTCTGTTTTCCAGTCTTTCATTCTTGAATTTTCTGACAACTGCAAATTTCTCTGGAACAGGAGCTTTTCAATATTCTCTCCTTTTCAGATCTCACCACACCATGATGTCTGTGAAGTCTGTAAGATAAGTCTGGCTAATATGGCTCCTATCATTTGCTTAATCTTTTCTACCTATTTGATGATGGTGGCACCTGCTTTCTGGTCTAGACTTCCCTTGATTATATTTGTTGAAAACACACTCTTTGGAAACTACTATTTGAGTGCAGCTCACTGTGTGTGTATATTTATAGATGTCTTGAGAGGGGGTAAATGTATCCATTGACTTTAGTAAAACACAATAAACAGCCTGAACATAAATACAAGTAACATGTAACTTGAATCAGAGTTTCCCAAGCCGTTTTGGATGTAAGGAGATCTCGGGGAGGTGAGTTCTTGTAAAATATTAACTGATCTGTTTAAAACTAAATGTTTTTTTCCACTTCAACACATTGGCTGTTCTTCAGACATCCAGATATTGATTGCTACACATCACCGAAAAAACTTCAGCTGTGGACACTGACCAAATAAACCTGTCAGCTTACAACTGGCGGCTTTAGAATTGCAACAATGCCTGCAAAGATCATCAACCACTTCATATAGTTCTTGAACAGGAAATGGATTTTAGTACAAAACCTGGTTCAAAAATGTGCCTTTTCAATCTACAATTTGAAATACAGCATTTTATTTTATTTACTGAGACATTCATAACTGTTGTGGGATATTTAGTTTTAGATGTGGAAAACTGAATAAAAATCTTATTACGTGGAAAAGGAGAATTAAGTGTGAAGGTTTATTTTATTTTCACTTTCCTCCTATCTTGGACCAGATGCCAACTGAACTAAGATTGCAACTCCATTCACTGCCACTCAGAATTATCTACTAGAATTTACACCACACAAGTCTGGTGGTATTCTCACTTGTAGAAGAGAACACAGATTTGGTTATCATTCCTTTGCAGTGATGAGGCTGATTTGGGGAACTCAATATGTGGAAGAATGCAGAAGAATCAATATTTAGAATATTGATGAACAGCCCATCATATCTGTGCTGGTTCACAACTTACACTTTATAATATAGTCTTCCATGTAGGAAAATGTCTCTTAAAAAGTACTGGGTGGGACCCTGAGCAGGGTTGTAGATGAGAGGGTAGAAGGTGCAGTGCAAAAGGTTTCTAGACTGGATTTGAAAGAAAAATCTAATTAGGGAGAGTTGGGGCAAGGTGGCTGACAGTTTGGCTGGTAATGGATGGCAGAGGGGTTGGGGGACATGAAGCAGGGCTGAGTTGGCAGAGGGTGTAGAACTGCAGGAGATCAGAGGTTGGATGGTGCAAGGCCATTGAGGCGTTTGAAAGTTACAATAAGGATCTTCCAAGTAAATCTGTTGGGAGAATAAGGCACCACTGGACTTGTGTGTGTGTGTGGGGGGGGGGGTCACTGATGGGCTCATGGACATGGTGTGGGAGAGAGTGAGGGCTGTGGAACTCTGGATGATCTGTAGCTTGTTGAGATGGGAAGTGTGTTGAAATCAAACCTGGAGGTAACAAAAGAACCCTGTACTCTATTAATTATACTATATCCTTTGATATTTTTCATTAAGTACGGTAACTTGATCCCTGTTATGACTCCATTTCAACAGCCATTTGTGGCTTAAAAAAAATTCTGTATAATGGTGGCAAAACCCGGATCACCAATTTATAGAACTGTCTTTCATAGCTGCTTTTGTAGGCTGTGCCACTGACTATTACAGAATCGATAACTTCAAGTTGTACAACAAAGTCATCCCCGGTGCTCAATGGCATAACAATCAAGCTCAGCAAATAAGGGTCAGGATGGCATTGTGAAGGTCAGTGTTGTATCTATTTTTATCTTTATCTTTACTTTTATCTTTTATCTTCATTTTTCCTGATTGGCTTGTGCCAGCGCCTCAGCACCTCAACCTCTGGCAGCATCAACCTCCATAGTTGCACACTTCAACTCACCAAGCCATTCAGGAACCCAGGTGTCTTGTTCAACCCTCAACTGTCTTTTCTTCCCCACATCGAAGCCATGACCCGCTCTGCCTTCCCTCACCTCCGTAACATCGCCCGACTCCGCTACTATCTCACCCCTCAGGCTGCTGAAAAACTTTTGTTCATGTCTTCATCGCCTCCAGGCTCGACTATCCAAACGCCCTGCTTGTCGGCCTTCCCAACTCCTCCCTCCACAGGCTGCAGATAATCCAGAACTCTGCAGCCCGTGTCCTCTCCCACACCAAACTCCGTGACCCCATCTCCCCACTCTCACCCGACTCCATTGGCTTTCTATCCTTCAAAGATCCAGTTCAGGATCCTGGTCCTAACCTACAAAGCCCTCCATGGCCTCGCCTCACCCTACCTCTACGACCTCCTAACCCCCTACCAACCCACCCGTTTCCTCCGCTCAGCTGGCTCCGGCCTGCTCCACGTCCCCCGACCCATCCGCCCCACCATTGGCGGGAGAGCCTTCAGCCACTCTGCTCCAACCTCTGAAATTCCATCCCCCAGTCACTCCACCTCGGGCCCTTCTTAGCCTCCTTCAAGTCCCGCCTCAAGACCCTCTTCGACCATGCCGTTGGCCCCTCACCTCTCTTCTCCCCCCCGACCCCAGCTCGGGTCTGAGATGCTGTATGCTGTCCAGCGCCTTGGGACGTCCTCCTCACGTGAAAGGCGCTATACAAATGTAATCTTGTGTTGTTTACTACGTTGTCTCTTTTAATCCACTGGAGAAAAATATTAACTGGGATATTGTTCATCTATTTAATAGAAGCACATACATTTTCAATCATATCAACCCAATCTGATTATGAGTGATTGTGAATTGAGAGAAAAGCCCGAGAAAGCTTTTTGTCCAGATTGCTGCTCCATATTCTATTTTGTTTCAGGCATGAAGAATTAGGTTTTAACTGTTAACTTAACCTCTTCATTGGAACGTTTACAACAGATATATATTTGCATGAATTGCCATTTGTTTTGCACTCTAATATCAGTTTGTTCACATGGAAAGTTAAGATACTGTTTCTTAAAATAATAATAATCCTTGCATTTGATAAAGTACCTTATCACATCAAGATGATGTGATAAGGCGATATATCCAGTCAATCCACTTCACAGGATATACTGTTAAGTGGATTGACTGGATATTTTGTGGGGAATAAGTAAGAAGCTGAGACTAAGATAACAGATCTTAAAAATATTTATATGCTGAGTATCAGTTCTGTGAATGTGGTTTCAAAGCTGAAATATTTATATGTTTCAATTTTTAAACTGAAAATACATTAATTTCCAATCTTACACTTCACATCATAAATGAAAACACTGAATGAACACTGAATAACTTTTTTTTATTATTAAACAAAATCCATATTTTTCTGCAGCAAACAAACCAGATCATCCCTGACTAAAATGAAAGGTCTGTATATTAATTCAATCTAACATAGCCCGCTGTCCACAGACTATATAATCACCACATCGACCTTTGTGCTGCATTTGTACAGCAATTGTAAAACGTCTTAATAGACAAAATAGTGTGCTTACAATCTAATCAGATACATGTAGCCATAAATGTGTTCTTGAAAAATCAAAAGCTATGACTTTAGGTATTAACTAAAACTCTAGGAATACAGTTAAAGCATGATATTTTGTTTTTCTAAATGTTAACTGATTTTACAAAAATAAAGCATGAATACACTTTAAAAATCCATGGCTAACATCTGGTGGATACACAAATCAAATTCAAATTTGTACTTTATGACTAAGCTGGAATCAAATAAAGGTCTCTACAAAAGTTTTAACGGTGAATATTGTAATACGCTCCTGCCCAGCCACTTGATGAAATGGACAATGATCACATTTGTACTGAATGGCAATCAAAAACCAATGCTGTCTCTTAGTTTAAGTGGATTTGCTGAGCCTGCCATGGTTTTCTGCTCTAAAGCACAGTTTACTGTGGACTCTGTTTAAGTCAGTCAGATTCCAGCAGCAAATATTACCAGCTACAAGTAATGTACACACATACAGGACTCACTAAAACTGTACACATATTATAACAACAACAAAATTACATTTATATAGCGTCTTGCACGTCAGGAAGACAAGCCTTATGTGTGCTGAACGCATCAGAAACATTATATATTAAATTAGTCCTAATCGCACAATTGTTTCATAAAATACATAAATCTATAGTACTGTATAGTGCAAAATCACATTATCCTTTTTTTAGCAAAATGTATTACATTCTACTTGGTACAATATAAAAGGTAATATCGGCCAATGTCTGGTTGAACACATATTCAACCTCACAAAAATATGCAATTATGTCAAGTCCTAATTCAATATTATGAAACAAAATGCCTTTTTTTAAAAGGAGGGATATTATTAACGTGATTAAAGGAATTATTCCACTGAATCTAAAACGATATGCATCGTGGTATTTATGCATTAATAAAATGTTTGCTTTTCATTTGTTTCTTTCATATTCCCAGAGCATAGTGCAGAGTAGGCAGACTGTGGGCTGGGGCCACTTCTGGAAATTTGAAAATATTGTTTCTTTGTTTAAATGTAATGCCTTCAAGACTTCTTATAGTTAAAGTAGCATTTCTTGGCCTGTAAAAGCTATCCATGAATTTTATCTGAATGCACTTTGCAGTTATTAAGAGCACCCTTATGTTGTCCTACATAGCTTCAAAAGTTATCCGAGCAAATGAAATATATTTCCTTTACATTGGTGCTAAAGAATACATATTTTTAATCGTGAATTTATTCGGTTTATGAAAAGGTTGTTTGAAGTACTGAAATACTCGTTCCTGTCATAAATTGTCAGGGCTTCTTCAAAAAGACATTGAAATTAACAACAGGAAGTGCGCAAGATATTTCAGGTATAGCTAGCAGTATTCACCTACAAAAACAGTCCCTACACTTTGCAGTAAATCCTGTGAAGCACTCCGAGATATCTC